ATTGGGGTCCTGGTGTGACTCTTTAGGATAAGCTCTGGAAAACTAACCACAGATTAGTGGTTCAAACCCACCAGTAGCCCCTCAGAAACACTAAACTATGACTCTTAGCTGCCTTGATGTCAGCTAACAACAACAACCAACTGTCGTTAGGAATCCTGGTGGTGAGCTAGACGACGAGTTGCTGGCTGCAAGATCGCTGGTTCAAACCTACCCACTGCTGCACAGAAGAAAGATGAGGCTGGATACCCCCATGAAGATTTTCAGTCTTGGAAACCCTAGGGACCTGTTTCACTCTGTCCTGTAGGCTCGCTATGGGAGTGCTTACGGTGTACTGGGTTATGACATGGATTGTTTGACGCACTATGTGCCGTGGAGTCTGTTCCGACTCATAGAGACCCTGTACAGGGTTTCCGAGGCTGTAAATCTTTACAGGAGCAGAACGCCTCATCTTTCTCTCACAGAACAGCTGGTAGTTTCGAACTGCCAACCTTCAGGTTAGCAGCCCGATTCGTAACCACTACACTGATGCAAGTTACAAGGTTCAAATCCACCAACCACTTCTTGGAAGAAAGATGAGGCTTTCTGCTCCTGTAAGGATTTCTCACCTCAGAAACCGTGTGTAAGTAAGGTCGCTGTGATTCGGAACCGGCCCCATGGCAACAAGTTGGGTTGGAGGTTTCATATTAGATCACTCTGGTGGTACAGTGGTTAATTGTTAGACTGCAAACCAAAAGGTCGATGGTTCAAACCCACCAAGGGGCGATGAGGGAGAAAAAGACCATTTGTTCCTGTAACAATTAAGCCTGCTACCGTGGAGTCAATTTTCACTCCCAGAGACCCCGCATACCACACTAGACCTTCCCCTTAAGGTTGTGTTTCAGTGGGTTAAGTGCTGGGATGCTAACTGAAAGGTTGACAGTTCAAAACCGCCAGCAGCTTGGCGAGAGAAAGATGACGCTTTGTGCTCCCATTAAGACGTAAAGTCTAGTAATTCGTACGGACACTTCTACTGAGTCTTGTAGGGTCATTGAGTCAGCATTGCTTCCTCCACGTGCGGAATCCTTTACCCAACCAGCATGTTTACAGCCTAGAAGATTCTATAGGGTCTCTGCCACATAGGATCGCTAAGAGTCGGAATCCACTTGGAGGCAACAAGTAACTCACCCAGCATGGCAAGGGGGGGTTGGTCCTTTGCAGTAAATGATTTCAGAGCATCACTATTTTGCTTGTTGGTGTTATTAAAGTGCCATCGAGTGGGTTCCAACTCACAGCAACCCTGTGTAGGGTGATCTCCGGAAAAGACGACATCTTAGAAATCCCTATAGAGCAATTCTACTCTGCTGCGTGGGGTTACTGTGTGTCAGAATTGACTCGAGGACACATTAAAAGTAATAGTAATAATTATATTCCTTTTGATACTTTCAGAGCGTCTGTCTGTGACTGAGCCTGTATCATCCCCTGGGGTCCCGGACATCACTCAACGCCCGTTTTTTAATACCACCCTGAAAGAAAACGTCCATGGTATTATGAATGTGAAACTGAACTTGAGGAGGAAAACTGTCCACTGGAATTTTCAGGGAAATGTCACTTGGAATGAATGCAAAATAAAGACCCCTGATAATACTGTCACCACATCTGTACAGGTGGGTACTGGTACCAGGAAGTTAGTTTCTGCTCCACTCTTGGAGTGTCCCCTGGAATCTTTGCTGTCATCTGCACACTGTGCTCAGACTGACTCTGTGTATGCCATGGATACATATTGCGCAGCCAACCACAGGGCTGGCGGTTCAAACCCACCAAACCCACTGAAACACAACCTTAAGGGGAAGGTCTAGTGTGGTATGCGGGGTCTCTGGGAGTGAAAATTGACTCCACGGGAGTTGGGAGACAGAGGAGACAATCTGCTCCCATAAACATTGATGGTCTCAAAAACCTTATCAGGCAGTGTTTCTCTGTCCAGCAATGTGTGATATGAGTCAGAATCGACTTGTTCTTGTGGATTTAGGGGTTTGGTTATAAATTCAATCGTCTTGGTGGCGTGCCATGAAGTCAGTTCCAACTCACAGTGACCCTGTGTAGGGTTCCCGAGACTGGAAGTCTTTACGGGAATAGAACACCTCATCTTTCTCCCATGGATCGGCTGGTAGATTCGAACTGCTGACCAATGCGTACCCACTATGCTACCAAGACCCCTGGTTACCTCAGACTAGGACTGTGCTCCACGGTTCTCAGTGGCTGATTTTCAAAAGATTGCCAGGTCTTTCTTCTGAGGTACATTTCAGTGATGAAGGAAGCATGTGAATGGTGTGCCCCAGTCAGGATTCCCTCATTCTTCTCCAAACTCTTTACGGAAGCGGACAGCTTCGTGTTTCTCCCTGGGAGTGGCTCACGGCTCTGCTTCTCCACAATGCGAAGACATTTCACACGGCAAATTTAACGGCTATCTTTTTGGCCCCTGCCTTTATTTTGATGTCTCCCTTGTACAGAAACAGGATACAGTTATGGTTAAATACATTTCTGTCTTTCTCTCTCTCTTTTTTTTCCCCCTTTCTTCCATCCCTCTCATTCCCCCCTCCCTTTCTCTCCTAACTTTCCTGAACTTTGTCCTTGGGCAAATGCTGCACCCCACCCCCTTTTTTTTTTTTACTATATCAAATATTTGATTATTTTCAGGTATCCAAACCTCCTTACTGTTATTTTTCCCCAGGCGTTGTTGTTAAATACTGTTAAGTCAGCTCTGACCCATATCAACCCTGTATCTGGTTTCAGAGGAGCAGCTGATGGGTTTGAACCACCAACTTTGTGGTTAGTAGCCCAGTGCTGATCCTATAGGCCTTACCTTAAAGATGAGCCATGGGATGAGCTGAGTTTCAGTCCTGAAAAGTGATAACAGGTCATACAGTTTGTCTCTGGAGTTCCACCAGTTTCTCCAGGATTAGTGAAACCCTTTTTTTTTTTAAGATTTTGACTTTTGTTCTACATTTTTCTGCTACTCTCTCCAGGACCTCTCATATTGTATTCCTTTCCGGAGCATTCAGTAGTGAGAGCGGGGAACCATCTAGTTCTCCTGATCTCAGGAACGTGAACATGATCCAGTCATCCTTTGGAATAAATGTCTCCATGCGCCTTTGATTTTCTTTGCTCCAGGAGGAGAGACATCAATCGTTGTATCTTAGATGGCCACTCACGAGTCTGTAAGATTCCAGTGGCTACTCACCACATTAGGTGTACACCATCATCCTGTGAACTGTTCCATGCAAGCAGACTTGGTCTCCCCCGAGACTGTGACCCTCAGCCTCCAGTTGGGCCCAGCTCCTTCTCCACACTCCCTGGGTTGAACTTTGTGTTTTGTGCTCTGTGCTGAGTGAATAAAAATGTCACTTTATTTCCAGGCAACTCTGAGTTAAAATCAGAGGAGGACCGTGTTCCATGAAGTTCCCAGTGGCTGCTCTGTCAGAGAAAAAAGAAGGAAAAAAAGTTTGTGTCAGTGATTGTTCAAACCCACCAGCTGTTCCTCAGAAACCCTATATAGGGTCACAATGAGTTGGAATTGACTTGACGGCATTTAAAAAA